CAGAATCCTACCTTAGTTACCCTGCAATAGGCTTAGGCTCTTGGGGTTTCCCATGATGCACTGTTTCTACTTTACTCGCCTCTTTGCACTCTCTGTGTTTATACACCCCTCTGCATTTAATTCTTAGTTATTATCAATCTAAGCTGTCCTCCACAGTTTCTTCTCTCCTGCCTCATGCCCAGCCGGTGGTGGCAGATGGCCCCGCCCCTCCCTGAGCCTGGTTCTGCCGGAGTTTTCTTCCTGTTAAAAGGGAATTTCTTTCTTCCCACTGTCACCAGGTGCTTACTTGAAGGGGGTCATTTGATTGTTGGAGTTTTCTCTGTATTATTGTAGGATATGCCTTACAGTATAAAGTGTCCTGAGGCCACTGTTGTTGGGATGTGGTACTATATGAATAAAGTTTAATTTTAAGTTGATATAGTGACTGTTCTGAGACACATTAGTCCCAGTCAGTAATCATTTTGCCATCTTCATGTGGAAGTTAGCAGGATCTGACTTCTGGTAGCAAGAATGTCAACAGCAACTAGTCAGAGGTGTGTTGCGGTGTTTTGTTTTGAAATGTTTCTCCTTCAGTCTGCGTTTGCGCCATGTTTACTGCATGTGGGAAGGCGCTCTGTGTCCTGATTGGTTGTCGTCACAGGCACAAGTTATTTTGACTTAGGAGTTACAGGTAAGGTGTGGAGAATCAGGTCAGGACATTGTCCTTGGCTGCCTGTTCTCACACTTAACTGGAGATAGTCCCCTTAAGCTGGGTACTCACCCTGGGAAATACTCTGTGGTTAAGGGGAAGCTGCTCCTTTTCAGTGCCTGTTTGTTCCATGTGGGGCTGAAAGTGTACGGCACCAACCTGATATAACAACATAATCTGAACGAATTTCTCTGCTGTAAATCTGGATCAATAACATTGATTGAAAAAACGTATAATCTATTTCTCGTGTTTGCTGTTTGAAGTTAACTGGTGCTCGCTCTGTGGGTGTTTGTGTGTGTTGTAGAGTAAGCGCCCAGAAGAGTAAGTGGGACAGCTCTCGCTCTATGCGCTACAACCAGGACGCTCAGCGAGAGGAAGGTAAAGGAGGACTCATTGATGCTTTTCTATTTTAAGCCACTGAGTCAGACTACGTTCTTTCAGTCTTGCATTAACCACTTTCTTTGCATGTTAACCAGACCAGCGCCGCATGGTGGAGATCATTGGCTACCTGACAAAGATGAGGTTTGGAGACCAGGAACAGAGTAAATCCAAGGATACTAAAGAGGTGGCTGTTTATTTACTGTACACCTAAAATGAGATTGATTGTCAGGGTGCAGGAAATGTGACTTTGACCAGGATTTAT